ATATATATATATATATATATATATATATATATATATATATATATATATATATATATATATATATATATATATATATATATATATATATATATATCGATGTAATGTAACCTACCATCATTCCTGATGATGACTGAATCTTAGTCGAAAGCTAGAATATTAAAATGTTTATTTTCGGAGTTACCATTGTTTTATATGTTATTAAAATACTCAGTGGGGTTCCCATAATTTTTAGCTTTTCAATGATACTTTTTAAAATCGTAACGATGAGAAATGGCCACATACTCGTCAAATAAATATTGCCTGTCGAAATCACATTCTTCCAAGACAATTCCCAAGAGGGAATGAAAGTTGCGTGCTAAATTATGTAAAATGAGCTCAACTCGTCAATCTTCGTCTTAGTGAGACAATAAAAACGTCCATAGACCTTATTCATAAATCGTGATGAGGCCTCGTATCCTAGGAAACGGGGAAAAACGCGGGAAAATTGACAAAATGTTTTTTTTGCTGTCGGCTATGGCAGCTTTTTTTCGTGAATATTTACGGCTTTTTTCGAAAATAATATCTATAAAACTGAGCTTGAAAGTTGAAAAATACTTCTGAGAAAATATTACATGATATTTGAAGCAAAAGATGCTGGAGTCAATTGAAAAAGGAAACCTTTGACTTTGTATTATTGTCGTAGTTTGTATGGTCAAAACAAAACACCAACAAGGCTACAAAACGTCTATACAACACCAAAATCGTAAGAAATATGAAACTATTGTTGAAGAAATAAGATTACAACTCACTCTGGTAATGTAGCCTTCATTTTTTAAACTTGTAAGCTGCTGCTTGCAGAATGTTATCGAGCCACAGCCATAGTTCATATTTTTCCGTACGAATCAATAACATTTGACGTTCTCTTGTGATTAATTACTGTTATTTTCTTTCATATTTATGTCAAATTCGAAAAATTATACTTCCATTCCATGGTTGTCTTGATTCTTCACGGAATAAACCTTTATATTGACGTTAAAATAATTGTAAGGGGCTTCGGTGGCCAAGTGGTTAGCGCACTTGCCTTTCACCTCTGAGGCTGCAGGTTCGAGTCTCACTAAGTACCTTCTCAATGCGACTCGAACCCAGTCCCCATGTAAAAAGAGTAAAAGTCAACGCTCTGCCGAAAGCCGTGGGTTTTCCCCGGGTACTCCGGTTTCCTCCCACAGGGAAAGTTGACAGGGTGGGTTAGGTAAAAAGGGCTCACAGTAATTGGCATATGCTGTTGTGGTGACCCTGCCCTAGTTGGCGAAGCTAAATAAATAAATAAATAAAATCTCAGTAAAATACTGTTTTTCGCTTCTGGATAAACACCATCGCTACGTTGTCATTTTTTCCACACAAAAACGGGAGAAAAACCGGTCGCTTTTATAATATACTCGTTTACCGCTTTCGTTGTGGGCACAAAGTCTTAAAATACACACAAATATCGTTATAAATCGCAAAAAGCAACAAGAAACAAGCCGTTAAAGTCGACACAATAGCATCTGAATTTGGATTGTCAAGCAGTTTTCGCTTGTTTTCCCGCGTTTTGTTCACGTATCCTAGGATACGAGGCCTCGTCACGATTTATGAATAAGGTCTATTATTGCATTAAACATGGTCAATTAACCGCTGAACTAAAAGATTGAACATTCGTGAATGAAAACGCTTTACGAAACAAATACCTTGCTGCTGCTCGCGTTGATGTGATTTTGACCGACAATTTTTATTTACGAGTATGTGGCCATTTCTTACAAGGGCGAAACTAGCCCCTTTTAATTGGGAGGTGTCTGCTAGAATTGCCCTGCGAAAGCCGATGATGCCCTGCAGCGAAAATTTGTTTTTGGCCACTATTTCTCCCAAAAACGTTGGCGAGCGGAGAAACGGAGGGGTCGAAAAAAATTTTCCGGACGTTTAAAAAAGGGGTGAAAAAATTTTTCGGACATAAACCAATTAAATAAGGGTCAAAAAAATTTTTGGACAAATTGCTGTTAAGGTTACAGAACACCTTTGAGTGTTAATTTTGCCTAAAATTTTATTATTGGTTTCCATGAAAGCATTAGACTAGTTCTACTATCTGACCAAGTTTGAACGAAAAATGTTGAAAACTCGCAGAGTTATATATTTAATAAAATACATTTCGCTGCAATAAGAAAAACATTGAAAATGTAATATCCAAATTCAATTTTCTCCCGAAAAAGTTTACGGTAATTACTGATTTGCAAATGAGTTGTGCTCCTGCGGGTTTTAACCAATTCTTCTCAAATTTTCACAGGACATAGCTAAAGACGTCAGTTTCATAATCGTGTTCGGCTTTCTTTAATTTTGGATATTTTAAAAATAAAGAGCTATTCACTCAAACAATTCAGAAATATATTGCAGTCGTCAAAGAAATCGCCATATCAGCGGAATGACGAAATAAAAAAAAATTTCCGAACACAGTTTTTTAGAACAACTATTTTACTGTATAAAAATGATATTTTCATAAATATAACTTAAAACCAGCAGGAACATAACTCAAAAGCGTAACGGTACCGCGATTTAAGATTTTCCTGAATAATTCTTACATTATTTTATTGTTTGTTAATCTTACAACTGTACCATATTTCGCATGCACTGCAGAACAGTCGGTGAAAATTTGATGAAAATCGGACTGATATTGAGCGCGCAGTAGCGATTTTCCGCAAAACGCCAAAAAAGGTGTCCTGTAACATTAAAACATGCATGAAACACTTATTTCTTTACCAATATCTTAATAACTCTACATTCTATCATTTAAAATCTTTCATTGCCCTGCCAATTCAGATGATTTGTACTTTGGGGGGGGGGTCACCCCCTCCACACACACACCCCTCAAGTTTCGTCCCTGATTTCTTATCGTTACGGTTTAAGAAAGGTATCATAGAAAAGCAAAATAACAGCTCTTTCGTCCTATTGAAAAATTGAATTTTTAGCTAAGTTTTTGATGCACAACAACCTGTTGAATTTCCATAGCGGTTCTGCAGACACCTTGTATAAGCACAGACAAATTTTACCAATGTTTGTTTTATCCACAACATTAGATAACTTACTTAGTTGCCTCAAGTTGTTATAGTATACAGACAGGGCCTTCTAGACCGATAATTAGGGGAGGGAGGGTGCATATTCATAATGTTCGTGTTCTTCCGGGCGGATTTCTTTTGAAAACAATCGTGAATCGAGCATGAATATATGAATATAACCCCCCCCCCCCCATTATCGCGTCTAGCTACGGCCCTGTTTACTTAAGCATGCACAGAATAAAACAAAAGTAACTACGCTTTAGAATTATATTCATCAGATTATTCTAAAACTTGGTTACCTTTGTTTTTGATTCTATGTTTCAGTAAAATAGAACAATAGCAACTATGCATGTGATGCTTGTGGTGTTACTCTGAGTGTGTATCCACAACGGGCGAGCTTGAAAAATATGCCTCGGCCACGGTGGGAATCGAACCTACGACCTTTGGAATACTAGCCAAATGCTCTGCCAACTGAGCTACGCGGTCACGACGGTTCGAGTAAGTGATATTTCGGAACAGAATCAATCCTGGCAAAAATTATGTGGACACCTAACCTTTGTAAGGTTAATATTAACATTGAGACGTTCTTTCATGAAATTGGTCGCCCCCTGCCCCCTATTCAATGTTGTTTCTCGCATTCAAATTTTAAAAGTTTCATTTACCAACATTGAATTGGGGGTAGGAGGGGGGAGAAATTTTCTGGCGGATTAATTATGTA